AGGAAAACACAAAAAAACAACTAGACCTATGAATGCCAATTTAGGCAACCGAACTAGACCTGGAAGTAAAACTCGCAGTCAAAATAAGACACACGATACATTCATTCCAAAATAGAAGGTATTTTAGGTATTACTAATATGAAGACACTTAAGTAGTTATATTTAATATTTAAACACTTAAAATAATTTCTTAATTCATAATTTTTTTTTTAGTCAAGGACAAATGCCTAAAAACCACATTTTTAACGTTCAATATCTACATCAACTATCAAGAAGCCAAAGTAAGATTAAATAGAAATCAGTCTAGTGTCCAAGTCTCTTCGGTAAGCTGTAATCATATTTTATTATTTTATTAAACATTTCGTCAATGTTTTATAACACGTATAAACAAGGCCGGATTAAAAACCTATTGGGCCCCGGGCTTGAAATTTCATATGGGCCCTTTTGACAAGGCACGCTTTAAAACAAACTGGCTACGCCCGCAGGAAGATACATTTTTCTAACTATTTCATAAATGGCAATTGCATTATAAAATTATAAAATGAATAGGTAAGTATATGTAATTTATATGTCTATAAAATATACAACCACTATTCACTAATTGTAATATAATAAAAGTAAAGACGGCAGAAGCTGATATGTACATTTTACAAACTTAGTTTTGCCGCTACATATATTTTCAAATACCTAATGACTTATTAGTTTTGGTCTTTGAATATAAATGGCACCACACACATAATAGAGACATATATCTTATTAAGTATGATAGAAGAAAAATTTTTTTAAAAAATGAAATATACGATTTCTAAACTATTTAAATGATATAATTGAAAAATTAACAAAATGTACATATCAGCTTCTGCCATCATTCCACAGAGTTAATACTTCATATTTCATTAATTTAAATTCAAATTTACATACCAACTTTTAAATTTATTAACATAATACTTATTTACAACAAATATTAACTAACAGTTATTAAATAACAATAAAATGCGCCTTTCCTACAAAAAGGTATTTACTATTTAGTTGTTTTTGTCGATAAAAAAAAAAAATGGTTTTTAAAATATAGAAAAACTATTCTTTAAAATCACTGAAAAATGTGTATCAGCTTAAAATTGTTTGGGCCCCTTTCATTTTGGTACTTGAAAGGGCCCCGGGGCTTTCGCCCCGGCTAGACCCCCCCTTAATCCGGCCTTGCGTATAAACATACATAAAATATTTTTAAATGCAACTAAAACTTAAAGAGGCTGTTGCAGTGTCGGTCTAGCATACCAAAAGCCCATGGATCAGTTTTTTTTTATAATGAAATACAAAGGCCCCAAAAAAATGAACTTAACATTTTGTTGAAAAAATGCTCACCACCATTTTAGATTCTGAGCGGAGAAATAAATGTATTGATTTTACAATGTTTTATTTTTAAATTATTTTTATTATTTGTGTCTGTGTACAGTGTACACGGGATAAGCAGTAAAAATATTGCTTCGATTTTCAACTTCAGTACGTATCTTGTTCCATGGGAAAGTAAATTTAGTTGGTGCATTGTGGTCACTCAATATTTATAATACCATTTTCTATACACCATAAAATTATCAAAATATTTTGTATTATTTTTGAGCTATTTATGGACATACTCAGTTTCCAATTGTTATATGTAGTTGTTTTCTTTTTTATAGATGTCAATAAAATTTTATTCTTTGGGTCGAAAAGATTTAAAATTTCATACAAGACTCTTAATAAATGTTACACTGGTAGTTAAAAAATATTAAAAACTAGCTGAACCCGTGCACTTCGTTGCCCATTAAGTGTACCAACTCTAGTCTATGTGACTCAAACTTTGTTCAATTTGTTATTTAATATTTAGTGTATGGTTTCAAAATTAATCTTAACTTTTCCGTTGCCCGGAATAAAAATTCTGTTTCTCTGCAGTACATTATCAGGTAGGCAATCTACCTGCGGTAGATCGCGGACCCCGTGCTGTGTGTACGTAAGTGTATGATTTAACTCTAAAGTATTAAAGTTATACGAAGTTTGTCGTATTCTATCTATGGTGGATTAATATAATCGATTATATACAATCCTAACATAACCGTAATAATGATGAATAAGAAAAACTTAATTTTTTAAATTAGCCAATCTTCTACCCAAAGGTCTAATCTACACATAAACATTCAATTATATATTATATATGTATATATTGACGAAAAATAATAATACAAATCAACAAACATGCCCGATTAACCAATAGCAACCAAAATATAATACATTATTATTTTTATTTTTTTTTTGGCCATGTCAAAAGTTGTGCACTTAAGAGACCACAACCACTCATCGTACATTGTACAAACTTCACAGAAACCATCTACATATCCATACAATTGAAATTGAATAAAAATCAATCTCGTTTAATCTCAAACCAATTAATATTTATCTAGAAAATAGAATTGTTGTTGTCATGTCAACAGACTTTTTTTCATTTTTCATACATTTTGTTGTTGTTTTTGGTCATGTCGCCAGGTGTGCACTTATGAGGCCATAACTCCGGAACCATTTATTGCACAGCGTACAAACTTCACAGAAACCATCTACATATAAATCTTAATATGCCCTGAAATTTTTATCGAAATCGGTTCGGTGGATCTTGAGCTATAAGATTTATTCAAAATGAACACTTATTTTTATATATATAGATAGTCATAATTTTTTTGCAGGGTCGGGCAAGCGGGGGCCCTCATTTGAGACCATTGTTTTTTGAGATAAATTAGGTTTTACCTGCAGTAGCGCAATTCATCCAAAAATACCTCCTCTTACTTGTTGCTTATGACATTTGTACTATTATGCCTGATCACACTATAATAGGTAAGCATCTAAGCGACTAAACCCTGTAAAGAAAAATTGGACCTAAAAATTACACACAGTTAAATATTTCGATAAATACTTTACGGAGTCCCTACTCCCTATATAGACCAGAAACATGACAAGCAAATAAAAAATGTACGAGACCATTGAAAAAAAAAATGAAGGGGCCCCAGTCATGGTAAGTAAGACTGACACTGGGCTGTTGGCTTTATTGGAAGCATAAGACCTATACATTTGTATGTCAGATAAAAAATTGGTAAATAGATAGGACATAATTTAATTTAATGTTCTTTATAGTTTCAAATTATTTTAAATACTTGATAAAACAAATTATAAATATTTTAAATGATTAAAAAAATAACAACTATTTATTAGGAACACTTTTGGACCAAGGTGAAACGTGTCAATTAACCTTGTTTGTTTCTAATAGGTAGCTTATACTGTATTTATCACACTTTTGTTTGTTTTATTTTAAAATAAAATGATACCTAAGTCATATTTTAAGTATTTTCAATCTGCATGATTAATTTTGATTCACAATGGCTCTATTTATTGATAAAAAATATTAAAGAATCCATAATGTTTTTACTATTTGTGTAAACAATCTTTGTTATAATATATTAATTAGTATTTGCCAAAATAATTTTAAAATGTAATCGTACACAATAATATTTATTATTCTCCATAAAACAGCATAAAAAGTTTTATATATTCAACCAATTAAAAAGTATAATAAAAAAACAGTTATGTTAAAAACTAATGTAGCAAAATAAATTAATTGACATCCAGACTAACTATTATTTTAAATGCATTTGGCACCGGCTTTATATGCAACCGTATAAAAAAGTTTTAACTGAAAAAATTCTTAATATTAAATTATTTAATTGGTACAAAATTAAAAGAATAAAAGAATTTAAATAAAAACATAGATTTGCGATTAACATTACATGTATTCAATATAAATTTTTTAAATATATAAAAAGAAATATACATCATTGACAGCAGCTTAATATTTTAAATGAATACAATAATATATTTGCATGTGTAAAAATAGTATGTTGATTAAAAAACTAATTTTAGTAATAAAGTAGTCCATATTGGCAAAAATATAAATTTATATATATATATAATTACTTAACATAAAATTGAATTCAAAATAATGAACAATTCATTTTAAATTTTACAATTAAGAAGTGTATTATTATTTATTATTTAATGTCAACATGTATTAATCATTTTTAAATCCACTTACTTCTAAATTATTTTACATATTTTAAATAATTTATCATAGATACTTAACATTATAAAGTAATACCTAATATTGATGAATGAATTGTATTAGTTAAATATTTTAACTATTAGTATTGTTTAGGGTACTCATTAGGTATTAAAGGTGTAGAACCTGTTGAAGCTGAAAAAAAATATCCAAAATGAATACATAGTGTGACTTTAAAAGTATCTACAATATAATGGAAATTGTATACATATTATTTTGATCTCTTTAAATGTGGCTAGAATTCTTCAAAATTATGTATACAGAGTACAAATACTAAATAGCATTTTTTTCTATTATACATCTACATTTATAATTTAAGTATACTATGCCCTCATCATAAAGTTCTATTTGCTAATATTCTTTAATAACATTTGCTTTTGCATTTTCTATAGGTTATTCAGAAGTTGGATTCACAATTAAGTCTAAATCAAGTTGTTAACAATATTACTATGCTGCCTCAATTATTTTCCAGGCTTAAAACATTCTATTCTACTGCATAATTTTTTCCTCTAAATTTCTCAACTAATGGTCAAATAAAATATTTCTTTCTGATATAAATTATAACCAATTCCTTAATAACAATGGTCAAATTCTTGAAAGCGTTGTCAATATTAACAAATATTTTGACTGGGATAAAAATCAATTTATGGTGTGGTCTGATAGACCAGACAAAAATTGAGATTACATTAGTCTTGTATGGGACGGAATACAAATTACAAATAAACTTATTAACAAATTATTATAAAATATAAACTATACCTGAAGCATAATAGGATCCATCACTGTATATTATAGATGGCATACCCTCTATAATGACACAATTGGTTGAAAGCGGTTGAACAAGTACCCCTGCAGTAACATTTTTTTAAACACAACCTGTGAAAATGCATTAAATTGTAGTCAGTTTTTATTCACGGGAATTATGAAAACCACAACCGACACAATTACATGCATTTTCAAAATACAATTACAGCAAATAATATTCAATGTTAATTTAAAATAAATGTCTATAAACTAAATAATAAACACTTATTATTCAATATAGAATTGTTGAAATATAATTAAGGGGATTGGAAGCGGCGATTTTCTGTCTTTATCTAACACACGTGGAACATAGGATTATAGACGTGTTCTATGTCCAACGTACCGATTAATCTAATGAAGCGATAAGAATTCTGAAAACAGATTTGAATTTGTCGTCAAGTCTACTTGAGATCGACTTTCCCACATTTTTGATTTTTTGATTTAAACTTCTCCAAAAGTTGAAATTTGTAAATTTTTTAAGTACTTTTTATAATATATCATTTTTATGATTTTGGTGGGACAATATCAAAAATGTGGGAAAGTCGATCTCAAGTAGACTTGACGACAAATTCAAATCTGTTTTCAGAATTCTTATCGCTTCATTAGATTAATCGGTACGTTGGACATAGAACACGTCTATAATCCTATGTTCCACGTGTGTTAGATAAAGACAGAAAATCGCCGCTTCCAATCCCCTTAAAGAAAATCTAAGTGGTTTCCAGATAAAAATTAAATTAAACTGTAGTAGTTAGTTAGCTAAGGTTAAATAACATTAACATTTACTACTAGTCTTGTGATAGTAAAAGCATTTAATTTAAATGTATAAAACAATTAAAACCTAAAATTAATATAATATAGAATATTATTTGTTCATATAAATTCAATATACTTAATATTATTTAAATTTAAGGTGCAAGTATTAATAAAATCATGCATAGTGCATACTAGACATTTGGCATTCTATGTATTTATTTTTTATGGAATACTATATATTGAGAAAGCGTTGTTGTTATAAATTTATTTATGTATCTTTTAATAAGAATAAAACATATTTTCATTATCTGATTGATACTAAATCATTTTTATCAAAATATTCTTTGATTTTTAAATGGTAATTAATAAATACAATTATATAAAATTGAATTTATAACATTTAACCATTAAGGTAACAAATAATATATAGATTTAAAATGTTTAATAGATAATCACTGATTTATGTTAATAGAACATGCACGAAGAAAAAAAGGTTATCCAGAACAAGCTGTGCAAATGGAACTACAATATTAAAAAGGAATATTACAAGATAAATAAATGCTTAGAAATATCAATTCTTCTTAAGTACTTCTAATAGTGATTTAACAAACATCTGTTAAATATGAATATAATATATAATGATAAGTATGAATGGTTGTTGTTATTAGTGATATTGCTTAATTAGATTTTTTTTAATTATGAATATCTAATAAGCAGTATTTTCAAGTACTACTTACTGCCAGATTGCCTACGTTTGTAAATGGCACAACATGGACACAATAAACAACAGATGCAACTGAGAATGGATGAAAGAATCAGCAAAACAATAAGAATCGGAATAAGGCAAATCAATCTGAAAATTATAAAAATAATTAAAATTTAGAATTAAACAAATATAATAATAATAATATATGCACACTTACCCAAAGAGCATAAATTCTTGGAAATTGCAACATTCAACCTTTCCGTCAGTATTATAACAGCAATATTCTTTAGTTTGATCCCCAATAATAGGCGTAGGACATCTGTTGATAGAGAAAGATTCAACCTTAGAGATGAATGGATTGTTATCTACTAACCATGGCAAAGTACAATCATTTGATCCTAAAATAAACATAAATAAGATTAGTGAACACAGTATACAGTGAAACGCCTTTATTTCAGTGTTATGGTCACAACTTAAATTTGTATAATAGAGAAATTTGTTGAGTGAAATATTGAAATTACATAAATTTAGTCAACTGATAAAAATACATTAATAACTATAGTGTATTATTAATGGAAAACAAACATTAATTGCAGTTTTCATCAAAATTTCTGATTGGATTTTTGAAATCGGTGTAAACTATATTGAAAACAACATTTTTTTGTAAAATTAAGTATCAGATAATCTATACCTAATTATGTTTTAAAAATCCCAATTCTTCTATTATGATCTTTTCACTATTTAAAACAAATTAAGTAAATATATGTAATTACTATAACAGACAATAGGTATCTGATGAAGTCAGTTATGTATATATAATATGTATAACATAGGTACTATAATTATTCTATTCAAAATAATTAAAAAATTAAATTAAATAATTTAAATAATTCAAAATAAAAACTATTATTCTATTCAAAATAAGCATGGAAAAAAATCACGATGGTCATGCTTGCATGTGTCCAGTGTTGCTGGCTGCAGACGGTGTGCTGTCGACTACTGGCCTATTACAACGGTTCTACCATTCAGAGGCTATACAGTTTTTCCAAACTTTTTTGGGTTAGAGTGTATACAATATACCACACATAAAGTTATTAATTACTTGTTTAATTAAGAAATAAAACAATAATAAAGACTATTATCAACAAAGTGCAAGGTGCAGCTTATGTAAATAGACCATTAACATTTTAACCATTGGTAAACCCATGAACATATTTTGTTTTTATGATCGAAACTGATACCCAATTGTTGAACAATTTTCACCTTTAACCACACAGTTGCAGAACGCAAAAGCCACCACCAACAGCGTTAATCCTTTGACAGCCATTGTATCGTCGGGTGTATAAACGATTATTGTTCAGTCTGTGAAAAAAAAAACGAAAATAAACAATGTATTAACAAAAATATATTGTTTATAATTTTCAAAACAATGTAATTTAGATTTAATTTAGATAATTTAGATATTATTAATTTACTATGAAAACCATTAAAATATCGCACTTAGTAAACAATAACAAATTATTATGTAAATCGTTTTTCGTAGATAGCGGTAAGCAAACGGTAACGTACCAACCTGTGGGACAAAAGTGTGTATAACAGTATTTTATATTAATAAAATGGAAAGTAGCAAACGGCAACGGCGGCAGACAGGGGTAACGCGAAAACAGTGAGAGTCGGAACTAACGAACAAGTAATAACAGTACAACACTGAAAACCGAAACGACTAAAGAGTGAAACGATCAGATTCGTCAGAAACGTAAAAAGACGGACGGTGTCAGACGGCGGTGGACGAGGCAGACTAGGGCGCTTGACTGCTTGAGCTTAGTTAGCGTTGGCGAATGGCGAGCGGCGACAGCTGAGGTGGTGATGGCCGATGGGCGAAGTTATGAGTGGCGGGTGAGTGGACAATAGCGATGTAAGACGGGCGGGCGACGGAGTCGAGGACAAACGCCGCGGCACTAACCAGTATTTTACAGGCTAACCAGTATTTTACAGGCTAACCAATACAAATTCGGCGGCTGTCAAGAATTGTTTTTTTTTTGTTGTGAACCGACGGGCGACGGGGCTCGGTCTCTCGGACGATGGCATAACCAGAAACAACTAACAACCAAAACAGTAAACTACGCCGTGACCCGAACGGCCGAACTACAATTATTATTAATACTATACTTATTAGAACTACAATTATTCCGAACGACCGAACGGTTAAATAATAAATAATAAATATTAATAAATAAAATATTGTTCTCATTACTATTCTAACAATAACGACGATAAACAGTTTATGTTCGAAAACGATAAAATTACATCATAAATATTAACGAGGGCCTAGGGTTCTTGAACACTCTTGTGACACTGTAAAATAACAAAACAACAAATCATGGGCGTAAGCACGAAAATATAAAACGAATAATATACGATAAATGTACTGATAAATATACTGCGCACACTTACAAGTTATAATAAACAATCACATAATAAAATAATAATGTCACATAATTTAATATTATTATTATTTGGGTCTCGTTGATTGTTATTATTGTTATTTTTTTTTATGAAAGATTTTAATTATTCAACCTGTTTGTTACATTACCCATATTATTTTGTCTTTTCTATACTAAATCTTTAATCATTTGTGCTTATTGTAAATTATTACTTAACAAATTGTACAATTTCTCTAGCTTAAAAATATAAAGATATTAATAATTTTTTCGTATATTTTGGCACTTTTGGATTTGGGTTTTTCTGCATAATTTATACAGGTTTCACGATTTATCGTGTCCACCGGAAAGAGGCGGAAATGATAAATGAGTAATCGTTATGCATTGCTGCATTGGCCAATGGGCAATGACTATCGTCATTACTCATATTAGTCATTACTCATTACTCATAACTAAGGATCAGTTAAATATAATTTATTATTATTACCCATAACTAAGGATCCTCCAATCAGAAGTTGTAGAACTTGCATATTTTTGTCTATGTCTTCTATTTATAGCTAGGTGAGATAAAAATCTGTTCCATAATCTACATGAATATCCATATAATTTGGTACTTTTATTGCATATTATTAATGATTTTTTTTTTTGTGAAATTGTAGTAAAATTTTCTCATAAAACAAAAGTTGATCAAAAAACTGTAGTTTTAAATTTTACTAATTTATAGGTTAAAACCTATCTAAAATATAAATCTTACATTTATTAACTTAAATAAAGTATTAGTAGTACCTATAAAAACTATTGTTAGTTTTATGATCGAATTTACATTTGAACACAAACTTTACATTAATACTCGAATATAAATATAATAATATATATAATTGTAAATGGTCATTTTCCCCCGATATATTTTTTATGAGGACATTTACCCACCATTGTTTTTTTAAAGTTAATTTTTGACTAATAATATTGAATTTAATAATATTATATTATTTATTATTTAATATGACATTTTTTTGGGAAAATGTCCTCGATTCATATATGAATATGATATATATCAGAATGTAAATATTCATAAAAATAAAATTCCTTTTTTTTTCATACTACCATGTATAGTTGTTTTATATGCATATTTTACCAAATTCACCTCATATAACTTCTCATCCCTACTCATTACGAATACGAATATAATTAGTAGGACAAACTAACATATTTTACCATGTCCCAGAAGAACTTTTATAATAATTCAATCACTTTTATTAAAAAGCACAGAGATACCTAAATAAATAAATTGTATGACTTTAAAAACGGATACACACGTTTACGGATACACTTCCAACACTTCAAAACTTATTGTGTGATATACTGATGTCTGATATGAGTTTTAAGCTAACAGCCCCCAGATCTTCACTCAGGATTCTTGCAGTCCGACTCCTTATCACATTATATATAGGTAGGTATTACAGGTATATTGGGTATGTACTACATTGTACATTATTATTGTATAATGTTTATTTGTATTTGTATGGTAATATTACGATATTACAATACAAATACAATTATACTTTATACATACTAGGCAACTGGGCGGCATTTTTCTTCGGGCAAGTCACGGTGTCCGGAGAACAAGTGCCGCCATTCCCCACCCGTGGCATGGCAGAAACCTACGGGAACCCCACTAGACATTCTCAGTGTTGAGCCGAGATAAATATAATTTTATCTAGATAAAGATAAAGATAAATTATAATAATGTTATCTAGATAAAGATAAAGATGACAAAATTATTTATTTATCTAGATAAAGATGAAAAAAAATTATTTTATCTAGATAAATTATCGGATAAATTTTTTTTCTATTGGTTTATGGCACTCATTTCTTATAAAATATAAGACATAATAATTTATGTACATTTTATTGTGGCCAACCTAGTCTGTAATCTGTATAGATTGTAAATATATTAAAAATAAATAAATAAATATTTTATTGTAATTAATAATCATATTTCATATTATTATTAATGTAAATAATGGTTGAGAAGTTCCAGTTGACAACACTCGTTTATTAATAACTGAAATGAATATAAAATTATACCTATTAACAAATTTTGAAAAAATTCGGCCATCTTGGCATATTGTGGCAAAATAAAAATATAAAAAGTTTTAAATGTATATAGGAAAAATAATAATAGATCATTTTTGAGATCTGCAACATAAGAGCATTTCAAATGTGCTGTCTTTTAATCGGTTACGTCTTGGAGTTAAAACCTGTATGGCCCCACTAAATAGCCGTTCAACTGGAGCTGATGATGGTAGCGTTGTATTAAACTTAAGGAAAACTTGCTTGACAACTTTAAATTGATCAAGCATCACACGATCTTAATATCGTTGATAATTATTAATAAATAGTATGTCTATTATTGTATATTTTATAACCAATGATAATAATATTAATATGTCATTTTTGTACAATCAAATTATTTTGAGTTATTTTTATATGTTATTCTGGACTGACGTAGTGCCGTCTGGTGGGTTTTATTTCTCGGTATAGATGTATATTTTGCTTTATAGATTTTAATTATAAATGTTTTATTATAATATGTTTATATAATATAGGTACCAGCATTATGATTTATGATATAACATAATATTAATTATTAAATACTACGAAAACATACAAACAAAAACTCGTAACGGTCGTAGCAATGTAGAATAACTTAATAGTATGTTATCGAAAATGTCAATAGTTATTAGTTATTAGTAAATACGACCTACTTATTACTTATAATTGTCTACCTATAGGCTATGATAAATAAAACCCGTTTAATAAATTAAATTATCTAGATAAATTCATCTAGATAATGGTGATTTTTATCTTAGATAACTGTGTTAATTAATATTCTCTATTTATCTAGATAAGATAAAAGATAAAAGAATATTTATCTAGATAATTTATCTAGATAAATTTATCTAGATAAACTCAACACTGGACATTCTGCCACAACACACACACGTGTAGCACCAAACCTATCCAATACAAAAATACAAAAACTCACAGTTCCACCCCACCCAATGGCCTATGTTGCCGCGGGTCATCTAATAAAAAAAAAAAAAAAACAATTATACATAATAATATAATATCCGATTTATAATAATGATTCATGAATATCTTAGTTCATGATTAGGTTCAAACCAGGTGTTGAATGATTCAACTTGAATCAGTTGCTATTTAACTTATGAATTGGAAAGAAAAATATGAATTGGAAATTGACTTGATGAATTGAATTGATTCAACTTTTGAGTTCACTCAAAATTCCCATTTTTAGACTAATATATTATTATGCTATTTTAATATTAAACTGTATGTGTATTGTGCAGGTACGGGATATAAGATATAAGTGGATAAGATCCAGACAATAGGATCGACTCATAAACACGTAATAACGGCATCATAACTTCACAAATATTTATCAATATTCACTAATAATAGAGAGTTATTGTTTTAATACTTGAGAAATATTGTCACGTTCGATTTATGACGGTTATAACAATAATTATCTTTATCAGTTAATTACTAACGTATACATATGACTCAACAAAAGTAATAAATTATCAAAAAATACTTAAAAGTACTTATTAGTTATTACCACGGTTTAAGATTTAAACCGTGGTTATTACTTTTAGACATGTTTTACAACGATTTTCTGTTTCAATATTAATAATTTAGTACATAGCTTATACCATATTATACCTAATGTACCTACATGATATATAAATATATTCCTATAATAACATAGGTTGTAACTTGTATTCATGTCATGACAGTTAGGTAGGCACTTATTAATAATATAATACCTATATCTAAGGGGGCTATAAAGTGAAAAAGCCCAATG